TGTGTGTGTGTGTGTGTGTGTGTGTGTGTGTGTGTGTGTGTGTGTGTAGTCAATAAGCTTTCAAAAGGCCATATCTTCTTTAATTTTTAAACACATTTCCATAAAATGTATATGTAAGTAAAGGGTGTACAAATATGTGACTATACTGGGGTCTGAAGGGCAGTGTGTCCCAGGAGATGGCATACTGGAGTAGGAGTCCAAACTGGGGCTCCATGTACAAGATTCAATGTCTGAGACAACTCCCTAAAACTTAAGATCATCTATGGTTTCTGTTCCACCAACATGAGAAACTTGCCTAGGCAAGTATCTGAGGCTGGATATGAACTCAGGCCTTTCTGATTCTAAGCCTGGTGCTCCATCCACTCACAGCTGGTCACAGGGTAATGAATTTTTTTGGCCACAGAAACATAGCTGAAAAGCTATGAAAAGGTTGTATTCTAGACTGCTGGAAGGAGTAAATATTGATGAAATCAAAAGTCTTTGTATTTTAGTATTCTTAAAATGTTACATGAACATATGTTCTCAAAAAATGATGTACCTAGAAATTATAGTTCCATGATGATATTTTTATCCAAAATTATTTTTAAAAATTGTTGTTTGAAAAGTGTGGGGAGGGTGAGGGTAGGCATTTTTCTTCTAATGATGACATATTTTAGCTTGAGCATACCTTAAAATGAAGCTACCATTATATAGTTTTAAGGGAATCTTTTAAAATAATTTTTTGTATATAAATTTAACATTTTAATGTAAAAATTCCATTATTATTTATATCTAATGACATCTAGTTATATCACTAGCCAGGAATCAAGAAACATGACTTTCCAGTTCTGCTATCTACTCTGATTCTTTAAGGTTATAAGAGAAAATAAGAATCATATGTACCTTAAAATGTTTTACCATTAGAGGAAAAAAAGTACCACATAAGGTAAAGTTATTACTGTCATGAAAATTCTTCAAAAATCTTCCTGCAAAATACTGATAATACTTTAAATAGAGTCTATAGGAAGGATGGAGAATTCCTTATCCTCAGTTTAATTTCATCCTGCCAAGGCAAACTTTCTAGATCTAGTCATACTTGCCATGAAGTACAGCAAATGCAACTGTTCAGATAATTAAAAATTTCAACACTTTCTAATGATTATCCTCATCTCAGTGAGGACAAGGAAAAAGAGGTGAGCTGGGAAGAAACAGTGGCTCTCCTCTCCTCATTTTTTTTTTGGTAAAATTTTTATTCATTTTAAACGTAAATATAAAATGAGAAAAAAAAAAGAACATTTCCATGTACACAGCAGACCATTTCAAGAAAACCTATATAATAAATTACTACACATTGCTTTCAAAGCTTCCCCATTTTTCTTTGCTTCGTTGTCGGTTTTATTTAGTTCTCTGCCATGCACTTTTCATTTTTTTTCTCCCTCTCCCTCATTTTTTTTAACTTAATTTTTACTTCATAATCATAAACTTAACTCTAGACTCTAGTTAACTTGTAGAAAGAAAAGGGAAATGAAATTCAAAGAGAATTATAACAAGAGTACAAAAGTTACATGATTGGACAAAAGTTGCAGAAGGAATGACTTGGTGACTAAAAACAAATTTTATGAGTTGTCCACCAAGAGCAATGGTGGATAAATTCTCTGACTTTGTTTTCTTTATATTATCTTCATATTATCTTTATTCTATTCATTCCCTCTTTCAACTGGTCACAGCCTACATGACCACCAGATACGCAATTTTAGCAGTACATAAGAAAATGTATTTTCCCCATCTTTACCTGTTGAATTTCTGTTGTTGTTGCTGTTGTTCGGTTGTTTCAGCTGTGTCCAACTCTTCCTGACCCCATGTGGGGTTTTCTTGGCAAAGATACTGAAGCAGTTTGTCATTTCCTTCTCTAGCTCATTTTACAGATAAGGAAACTGAGGCAAACAGGGTTAAGTGACTTGCCCAGGCTCACACAGCTAGAAAGTGTCTGAGGATGAATTTGAATTCAGGTCCTGCTAACTGCTGAGTCAGCACCCTATATCTACTGTGCCACCTATGTGTGTACACACACACACACACACACACACACACACCGAGGCCAGATTTGAATTCAGGAAAATGAGTCTTCTTCACTTCAAACCTGGCCCTCTAATCACTGTGCCACCTAGCTGCCATTGAATTTCTATCCATCATTTAAAGACAAACTCAAATATCTGTTCCCTCAGGAAGCCTTCCTTAACATCCCTCAAGGAATGAAGGTGCCCTTTGGCCCCTCTGACATAGAACTTTGTTTGCATCTCATCCATATTTTTTGGCATTATAGTTATTTTTATATCAAACTACCCTACTAGGCTATATGCTCTATGAAACAAGGGATTATCTTATGTACATGTCCCCTAACACAAGGCTCTGACAAGAAGGTATTTAGGTGGAAAGTGGTAGGATCTATGACAAGGGTGGGGAACCTGCAGCCTTGAGGCCACATGAGGCCCTGAGGCCTTAAGTTTCCCCCCTCCTGATCTATGATATCTTTGGTACAGGGAACTCCTTTGTGAACAAAGTTGTACCAATGTGGGTCAGCACCTGCTCTACAACTTCTAGTCTACATACAGAGCTGCCTACAGCACTGTGAGGAAATATCGTTCAAAGGCAGGACTTGAACCCAGATCTCTTTGGCTTTGAGGCCATTCATTATGTCACAGTACCTCTCAGTAGATGCTTACTATGTGTTAAACTGAAAGTCATAGTTTCATATTCCCTGTTTTTAATTTTAAAAGTAAATTAAATATTTTCTATTTCTTTCTCAAAATTAATTACATAAAAGTAATTTTTTAAATTGGTATGCAGTTCTTAGCTACTTTTTCCCTCTGGATAAATAACCCTTAACAGAGGGGTGAAAAAGGTTCCTCAATTCCATTTTATAGTCAAACCTTACGGCCCTTCTGTTCCTTAAATCAATTACGGAAGAAAGTGGGGGAAAAGGGAGAGGGGGTAGCAAATGCAGTGAACTTATCAATTACTGTCATCTCTGTTATCTGATATTTTCTCAGAATGCCTATTCTCTCTCTCTAGTTTTAAAGTTACGCATGATCACTTGCAACAGAAGGGAGTTGTAGTCAAAATGAAACTAGAGCTAGGCCTGGAAATGGCATTAAAAATAAGAGCCTGGAGCAGGGACAGGGGTAAAATTCTTGAGAAATTTGTTAAGATGCTATTAAACAATACCATAAAGCTGACTTACGTTTGGAAGTCTAAAGACAAACGAATAAAACTGTTAAAGATAACAGAAGCATAAAAGTGGAAAGCCTGAGCAATAATTTAACAAGATTATTTTAAATCTTTAGACAAATATTTATACTTTTTAAATTGTTACATATTTAAATAGAACTTTAAGGTTTATAAAGTACTTTTCTCACAACCACTTTGTAGGTAGTAAAAAAGTTATTATCTCCACTTTACAGCTGAGTAAACTAAGGCTCAGTGTGATAAAATGGCTAATAAATGGGACAGTGCAAGAATCCGTCTGAACCTTGGTCTAAACTCTACTGTTCTTTTCCATACATGATGCTGTCTTTCTCACTAAGTAGGTGTTTATTTAATGTGTGTGTATATCTTTTTCAATCCTGAGTCTGCACTAAAATATGTACACATACATGTATATCTACATATGTATGCATATCTATATATCTGTGTAACTATAAATACCAGAATTATCTAAGATTTCTCTAAGGGACAGGCAAATTGTGATCTGTATCAGTTGAAAGAGATGCAATACTGAGCAAACCACAGACACATGATGTACGCACACATTACACAAATGGGAGGCTAAAGGAATTTTTCTTTTACTTTTTTTAAACTTCAAATAGAAACTACTTACCTGCTTTTCATCTCCAGGTTGTAGCAACTTTTGGCTTCTTGAGATTGCCAGATTCTCTATAAGTTCCCTAAAAACAAAAGTAATTATGACGTCAGTGTATGTGTTTGAAAGCCACAGCTACACTCAAACCTGAAGTATCAAAACTAATTTGTAGTACCTCTTAAAGCAAACCATTAGCAACATTTCTTAATAAAGTAATTTCTTAACAAAGTAAAACTTCTTTCTAGGAGGGACAACAACAGAGGTCACATTTTTCCTAAATGAAATTATGAAGAACAATTAAATCTAGTCCATGTATTGCCAATAGTTTCAAAACTGCCCCGAATTCAGGCAGTAAAGTCACTTTCTTAGAGGTTAATATATTCATAACCTCTGAGTCTGCCATTGTGTGCCCCCACGTGCTACTCCAATACCCTAATGCCTAATCCGTTCTATTTTTCCTGTGTTCCCAGTACTTGTCTATAGGCCTCAGTTTCTTTCTGATAAAATGATTTTTATTTTCATTTTCATTTCATGAGTATTACGTAATCCATTCACTGATCTGCTCTGTGAAAACAGCAAAAAACCCACATCCAGCAGATTTTACTGTAGTCTAGTAACTTTATTCATATGTGGCATCTTTCTTTTAAAGAATGGGTAAACTAAAGATAACTGATTCCAGTTTAGGGTAAAAGATGATCCTGTTTTCATTACTCTTCAACTAAGACACATTCTCTTGCCACTTTGAATGTGAGGCAACTGGAAAATAAACTGTTTCATTTCTGCAACTGTTTTAACATTGTGGTCTTCCTAAAAATGGGTGGGACATTAGAAGGAAGGCATCATGAAGAGGTAGCACCTGAGAGAACAGAGATTATCCTTACATTTCCTTGTATCCCCAGTGCTTAGCATAGTGATAAGTGGAAGGGAAATCCATCTCCAGGCAACAAATAATAAGGCAAATTGAGAAAGGACTGGACAAAATAAAGAGAATGCCTAACAGTCAAGTAAAAAAGTAAAGTGAATAAACAACAACAAAAAAGAACTTGACGATAAAAGGCTACTATGGTGGCAGGGAAGACAAAATATAAACTCAGAAGAAAACAATCTGAAAATATCTACAAAGCCTCAAAGAAAAATGCTACTTGGACCCACGCCCAATAAGAGTTAAAGAAAGAGGTAAGAGTGGTAGAGGAAAAATTGGGAAAAGAAATGAAGGAGATGCAAGAAAATTATTTAAAGAAAATTAACAACTTGGTAAAAAGAGGCACAAAAAACACCAAAGAAAATCACACCTTAAAAAAGAGAAAAAACAACAGAATTGACCTAATAGTAAAAGAGGCACAAAAATTCACTGAAGAAAAGAACTCTTTAAAAAGCAGAATAAACCAAATGAAAAATGAGGTACAACAGCTCACTGAAGAAAATAATTCCTTAAAAATCAGAATAAAGCAGGCAAGTCACTTAACCCCAATTGCCACACACACACACACACACACACACACACACACAAACAATAAAGCAAAAAAGAATGAAAAAAATAGAAGAAAATGTGAAACATCTCATTGGAAAAACAAATGACCTGGAAAAGAGATTAAGGAGAGATATTTTAAGAATTATTAGACTATGTGAAAGCCATGACCAAAAAAAAAAAAAAAAAGAGTCTAGACATCATATTTCAAGAAATTATCAAGGAAAACTGCCTATCCTCGAATCCAAGGGTAAAACAGAAATTGAAAGAATTCACCACCCATCACTTCCTGAAACAAATCCCAAGATGAAAATTCCCAAAAATATTATAGCCAAATTCCAGAGTTCCTAGGTCATGGAGAAAATATTGCAAGCAGCCAGAAACAATTCAAATATCATAGAGCCACAGTCAAGATCAAGTAAGATTTAGCAACTTCCACGTTAAAAGAACAGAGGGCTTGGAATACAGTATTTTGGAAGACAAAGGAGCTAGGATTAAAAATGACTACAACCTGCCCAGCAAAACTGAGTATAATTCTTCAGGGGGGATCTGACCTTCAAACACAAGACTCAAAAGATGCATAAAAAGTTAATTATGAAAGAGTAATCATAAGGTACTCAATAAAGTTAAACTGTTTGATACAGGTAACTCTTAAGGACTTTATCATTATTAGGGTAATTAGAAGGTACATACACAGAGGGCATGACTGTGTGTCAATTATGTTGGGATCATCTCTCACACACACACACAAAAGGGAGGGGTGAGAAAGAAGGATGAACTGTGAGAAAGAAGAAGGGATAAAAAGAATGTGGAAATTTTCCTCATATAAAAGAGGTGCACACGGAAGAGCTTTTAAAGTGTAGGGGAAAATGGGGAGGATGGCAGGCAATGCTTGAACCTCTCTCTCATAGGAACTGGTTCAAAAGGGTGCAAAATCTGGTTCAGAAATCTTCAGCATTCATGCATTTAACTTTTGTCACTTCAATCATGCTTGTGATTTTATTAGTAACCTTATTTTCACTTTTCTGTTCGCAACTATGCATATTCAAGGCTGTACAGTAAAGAAAAAAACCAGAGGCAGAATGCGCTCAAGTTTGTGGAGCAGTCGGGTATCCCACTTGGCACTTTATTGGCCTTCACTGCATATTTTCATTGTTTGTCTTTAAAACTCAAGTTTTGTGTTGAATTATGCGCCCAAAGCATAGTGCTCTAAACTCGAGTTTAAAGTCAGCAATGCCACTTACTGAGAAAATAAAGATCTTAGATAAACTTCATGCCAGAAATGTCTGCAGCCACTGTCAGAGGCTAGTTGTTATATCCGCAAAAAGGAGGAAAATATTTGTCATAGCTTATGTGAATCTGCTCCAGAAAGTACTAAAGTAACCTCTCAAATGCCCAATGATGGAATTGAAAAAAATGGAAAAGTGGCTAAGTTTGTTGGTAAATGAGACAGTGGTCACCTCTGCCCTCTTGCCACAAGCTTCCCTCTCTCCCTTGCTGCCTGGCTGGGCAGGCAGAGAGCCCTGAACTCCGATGAAGTAACTCTTGGAGGCATGGCTTTTCTATTTTTACTTTATTTATTTATCTATCTATCTATTCATTCATTCATTCACTTATTTGTTTATTTATTTATTTACTGGTGAGGCAATTGGGGTTAAGTGACTTGCCCAGGGTCACACAGCTAGTGTCAAGTGTCTTGTCTGAGACTGGATTTGAACTCAGGTCCTCCTGACTCCAGGGCCAGTGCTCTATCCACTGTGCCACCTAACTGCCCCTGGAGGCATGGCTTTTCATCCAGGAACAGTTCAACCAAAGAAAGGAAAAGAAGGTTAGAGACCACAGGTTGTCCCTTTCTCTTTTTTACCTTGATGACACGTCAGCCCCTGCGCCTGCCCCTCCCTGTCTCATCTAGTGTTGTCTCTCCTCTCCCCTGCATTTTATGGGTTATTTCATCCCCACTGCCTAGCTCCCCCCCCCAAAAAAAGGAATTGTATGCAGAAAAGTGTATTTTCAGCAATCTCTAGGGAAAAATTACACTTTTTGGTGGTTGGGGGAAATTAACCCCTATTTCCCATAGGTTCAATGTAGAAACATTTCAGTTTTTTACTGTTATGCCATTTTTAGGAATGTTATACCAGCAAATGTTGAAGACTGCCTAAATATACACACTCAATTGGTTATGGAAGTCTATCTTACCCAATAGAGAAACAGGAAGGGAAGGGGTAAGAGACGGATTGGAGTGGGAGGAGGGGGAGCAATGAAAAAGAAAGGGTAGATTAAGGGAGTTCAAGTTCAGAAGCAAAACAGGCTTTTGAGGAGGGACAGGGTAAAAAGAGAGAGTGGGAGACAAACAGAAGAAAACAGGATGGAGAGAAATATACAGTTAGTAATCTCAACTATGAATGTGAATGGGATGAACTCTCCCATAAAACAGAAGCAGATAGCAGAATGGATTAGAAACCAGAATCCAACAATTTGTTAGGTAACAAAAGACACACTTGAAACAGAAATACACACACAGAGTTAAAATAAAGGGCTACAGCAGAATCTATTATGCTTCAGTTAAAGCAAAAAAAGGCAGAGGTAGTAATCATGATCTCAGACAAAGTAAAAGCAAAAACAGAGCTAATTAAAAGGGATAATCAGGAAAGCTACATTTTGCTAAAAGATACTACAATGAAGTAGTATCAAAAATTTACAGCAAGTTTCTCTGATAAAGGTCTCATTTCTCAAATATATAGAGCACTGAGTTAAATTCCTTAAAATAAGAGCTATTCCCCAATTGATAAATGGGCAAAGAATATGTACAGGCAGTTTGCAGAAGAAATCAAAGCTACCTCTAGCCACAGGAAAAATGCTCTAAATCGCTATTAATTAAAGAAATGAAAATTAAACCAACTCTGAGGTACTACCTCACATCTGTCAGAAATGATAAATACTGGAGGGGATGAGGGAAAAATCAGTACACTAATAAACTATTCCTGGAGTTGTGAACTGGTCCAACCATTCTGGAGAAAAACTTGGAACTAGGCCCAAGGGCTATAAAACTGTGCATACCCTCTGAACCACCAATACCACTACTAGGTCTATATCCCAAAGATATTTTTTTTTAAAGAAAAAGACTAATATGTACAAAAATATTTATAGCAGCTCTTTGTGGTGGCAAAGAATTGGAAATTGAAGGGATGCTCATAAATTACAGAATGAGTGAGTAAGTTTGGGTATATGATTATGATGGAATACTATTGTGCTGTAAGAAATGAGGAGGGAGGTGATGTCAGAAAAAAATGGCAAGACCTATATAAACTGATGCAAAGTGAAGTGAGAAGGACCAGGAGGTCATTGTGCATAGTAACAGCAATGTCACAATGATGACCAACTGTGAAAGACTTGGCTACTCCAAACAATACAATAATCCAACACAATTCCAAAGGACACACGATTAAAAAAGTAAAAAATGCTATCCACCTCCAGAGAGAGAATTGATGAACTCTGAGTACAAATTGAAGGATAATTTTCTCATTTAATTTTTTTTGCATTTTCTTTTTTTCTTTCAATATGGCTAATATGGAAACATATTTTGCATGATTTCACATATATAACTGAAATCATTTTGC